CAATCAGCTGCTGACACGTCACTCGCCTTTGGCGCCACTCGGACAATTTGATGAATGATCGGCAAAGCCTTCCCGGTTCTCAATATAAGGTAGTTTGTCGGAATGTTCTCGGATTGTGGCGGCTAAAATGCTAAAAAATCCGTATCGCTGACAGACAGTGAGGTTCAAACTTTCCTAGAAGGGGAAGAAAACCAATATACTAAAAGAAAAAACCGAAAGTTACGTATTCAGAGGCTTTGATGTTAGCATTTCTTGGCTGAGAATGAAAATCGACAACTGGTAGATTTGCCATCGGCCGATTTTGGCCGTTTACCTGAAAGAAGTCTTCTGTCGACTTTACGACCATTGTTGTTTTTGCAATCATGGTTCAGAGCTCAGTTTTTCTATCTTAAGAGTTAGAGCCAACGCACTCTACGATTATTATTTGGGGATTTTCGACTCATTTATTTTCATTGAAAATAGTCGGCTTTTCTTCCCAGTAAGAGGGCTTTTGTGTTTATATGATAAACAAAATAATACATGGTTGCTTGTAGATATGGAATTTCTCTTCTTGTGTTCAACTTGACATCTCACTCGTGAGCTATCGAGTGAAACACTCGAAGAGAAATTCCATATCTACGCGCGCCCATGTATTATTCTCTATTTATTCAACCGAAGGAAGGACATATCTAACAAGGTGTTACCTTTGAAACTCAGTACCAATAGATTAGGTTTGAATAGGCAGAGAAAATGGGCAGAATTCGGTGTAAAATTTACTTCAAACAGTAATACTCCTACATGAATGGATGTTTTATCGTAACAATTGCCATTAGCAAAGGTATTTCCAGACAGTTCATGGCGAACAATTTATTACATCATGGCCGCCGCGCATGCGAATCGCGTCACTTTGTGGACTTAGATTGTATTTCGGTGCGTTTGAAATTACAGAGAAAACAGTGAAAACTGGACTTACCGTAGTCAAAACCTTCCTTTCATAGCTTATGAATAAAACTTTTGTCAGGTCGCCAAATCCAATTTAAAAGAAGAATATTTCCTTTTGCCTTTGAGCAATATTGTTTACAAAGAGTTGATGAATCGACGGTTCCCAACGCTTTTGAAATTTCCTCCTGTTCCTGAAAAATCCCCCATACTTCTTCTCTAATTCCCCTTAAATTTGTCTAAACGTGCTACCTTAAAACGTTCCACATAAGTTCTCTGTGCTCATGTTTGATGTCCTTAAATCTGAATCTCTTGTTCGAAAGCCATAGTCGATTTCTATACTGAAAACGGCCCATTAAAACTAGAATTAACGGTTCCTAAAAAAGGGTTAATATTTTCGTTAGTTTTAACCATTTCTCTGGAAAAAGGATTGTGTTAATATTTTTCATGTGTGCTTCTCAAACTAGACGTTTGTCAGTTCATCCATATCTGAAACTCGTGACGAATCACTTTCATGCGCTCTGCGCTCGGAATGCGTTTGCATAACGATTCCCTCAAATAACTCGTGCAATCGGCTGTGTGTGTAACTGCTGATTCTCCAAGACTGCAGTTATTCTTCGTCCACCTTCTAACAACGAATTTCAAGGAGGAATGAAAACACTTTCTCTTCTAGCGGCAACAGACAGTGAATTTCCATTAAATTCCACGTTTATTCACGCTATCTTGCTGCTCTCCTCGACCACGACAGGATGCAAATTTATTTTTCGTTTTACGACCATGATACAACGCAATCAGTTGGAATACACCATACATTTTCTAGTTTTCCCAGTTGGAATACAATACATTTTCCCGGGTTTTTAAAAAAATGTCGGATGACAAAAAGAACTGTCAGCATGAATATGCAAAAGTAGTTGAGTTCAGTAAACCGGAGCTTATACCCCGTTCACACCAAAGCTTAAACATGTTTAAAATTTGTTTGATAAACAGATTTAATAATGATATGCAGCTAAATTTTTGGAGACGAAACCAATTTTCGCCCTGGAAACACCCTATCCATTGCAAAAAGAATGGCATAGAATTATCACTGAGGACCCCACTGAGAAAACCTCACAAGTTTTCCCTGGTCTACAGCTTGTGTTAGATTACGATGCTCTGTTGGAAGGAACAATTAGGGACCATGCATTGTGGTGATTTTAAATTCATTCTCCTCATGCTAGGTTTAAATGGAGCAACAGCTAACTATGCATGTGCATGGTGTAAAATCCAAAAGGATGATAGATGGAAAATAGATCAGCATTTTAGTTATTTCAATTCAAAGCCACTTTCAAGGTCTTTACAAGAATTGACAGAAATGTTCAAAAAAATCAAAGGATGATTATGGCTGCTGTAAGGAACCCCTTCTGGACATTGAATTGGATCATATAATTGTTGATGAACTTCACCTCCTTTTAAGAATAACTGACAAGTGTTAACTGCCAATTTAGTAACAAAAGTTAATGATTGGGATATTGAGGAGAGTATTGAAAACCTGATCAACAAACAGGCACGCCTAAATAAGTTCATTCACAGCAGAAGGTCTTGTGGAATGTCTTTTGATGTCTGGGAAAGAAAAATGCAGATGGCAAAGAAAGTTCTGTTCACGAATGGATAAGTCTCATAAGAAATGATAAGAAAATAATGCTGTATCACCTTCCAGAGAAAATGAATGATTTCTTGAGGCCTGAAACTGCTGAAAAGATCATAAAAATATGGGTGTACTTCGCAGCCCTGTAAAAAATCTCAGAAACTGGCAACCGAATACCAGCCCCACAGAGTTTTGGTTGAAAGCAAAACAATAGGTGAGTGATTTCATTTCTCTCAAAGGATTAAGGGAAGGTTACAAGTGAAAGAGAGTTACCCAATACCTTCATATTATGGTTTCCCATATATCCCATGGTTTTTCCAAATGTACCAAGTAGTAACAACATTTAAAGGGAAAGGAGTTGAAAGGAACATTGATGTTGCAGGGTCCACTGTTTTCTGGAAATTCAACAAGTGGGACTCTATTGGAGATGTTCTTCATCAAGAGTCATGTTAATGGCACTTAAGAAAAAGGGAATGGGAGCCCAGATCCTATCAGAAACAAACTAGAGTACTGGGAAGAGGACATATTCCGAAAAAGAAAAAACTGTACCACCTGAAATTACTACACCTTTATCTAATCTGCAAAGTGGTTAAAGTACTGTTGCATCTCAAACTCACTCTACTGTGCCTTTGAGCTCAACTGACTTTACAAAAATGACAGTTCCTCAGCTTAAAGATGAATTAAAAGAAAGAGGAAGCAAAGGCATCACTAAGAAAACAAAACATTAGCTTGTAAGATTATTGAAGAGCATTACTGATAAAGAAAACTGGTCAACCTCTATTTAAAAAAAAATGACATTGTTATTAGATGCATATTGTAAAAGTGGCACAGCATATAGCATTTGGCCTGCTACAGGTGTAAGAGCTGTACCCATTGTAATAATGGCCTGTTAATACCCTGATAGGTGCAGATAAACTCAACAGTCTACACCAGCACCATGTTACAGTACCATAATTCTTTTCGCACTGATAACTCCAGTAATGAAATTTCTAAACACTGCACCTGTCCCACTTTATAAGATAGTCAATCTGAGAAATCAAAATTATTCATTTTACTACAAAACTCAAATGTGCTTTAAATATTAGATCACAATTTCTCTTCTACTGTAAGCTTATTAAGCTCCTTGAGCTCCAGAAATATAACAGGAGTTTTACTTGGTGATCCAGTGATCACCTTGAAATGACTTGTTCAACTCTAACCGTTTAACTCCCAAGATCTCATTAGTAATTCTCCTTACTGTCTGCCATACAGTTCTTGAGATGTTGGTTTTTAGAAGCTGGTATTGCATCAACTAATAATCTTCTAACTGATATTTTTCTTTATTCTCATCTCTTGTGTGCTTTATATTGCTTGATATTGTAAAGAAGAAATTCAGTCTTGGTCACTTATGGGAGTTAAAGGGTTAGAACATACTCCTTTACTGTTTGCTTTTCTTCTCTTTTACATGGGCTTTAAAAAGTCACTTGTGATTTGTGACAATTGCTAAAAATAACCGCTTGGGGGCCTTTTTCTCTGATGGTCTGCCATTTCAGAGCTAGCGAAAATAGATACCTGTGGTGTTAACCACTGATAAAATCTGTGCCTGTAGTGTTGATCACTGACAACATGTGCATGAGCAATAACAACTGCTGACTGTGTGAAATTGTATGTCAAGCCAATTGCTGGCAGGTGCCCAAAAACAAAAATTTTTAATTAAGTCAGCACATATAGAAAGAAGTGCATCAACAACAAGTCCTTTAAAATAGCTTCATGCAACTGGTACATAAAATCTACTCCTGATCATTTTTTTCTCTCTGCTAGGTTATGAGAGTAGCCACAATGTTACACTGTGTGGGTTTGAATCCTTATGGGAATATTCAATTTCATGAGTTTTTTTTTGCTTCACCTCATTCTCATGGCAAAATGAAAACACCTGTCTGACCTTGTATAAGAATTAATTGATTTGAGGAAAACAAAAGTGAGCATTACGTATATGAAAGGAATTTCAACAAACTTTGAGCTCTGCCTCAATTTAACAGTCTGCTGAGCTGAACCAATAAGTGACCAGCAAACTCACAACAATCACATAATCAAATACCTTCTGCAAATTAGAGCTTTAACATGAAGCTACTTTAAAAACAAATAGTGTTTTGTTTCTGCTGCTCTGTTTTTTACCATGGATCTCCTCTAACATGTAACAAGCTTACTCTCGTTATTGATGTGTACTTCCGCAATCTGCCATCATTTCAATAACTGCTATTTTTGAATGACCCAACAACCAAGTTTGATTACAATCCACTGAAATTTCTGAAGAGGAAAATAGAAAACTTTGCTTTTTCACCAAAATACAGCTTCAGTCTAACCTAAAGAGAGTATATCACCAAAACTTTACATCTATAATGCACCTGCTTCCCTATTGTGTTTGTTTTATGTATTTGTAATCTTACATCAGATAGACTTGCATGTATCAACAATAGAATCAAGGCAACTTCATGTGTTCATCATAGTGGTTGATGAGCTGGGAAGCACTGCTCAGTTCCTCCTGACAAATCCAGCATGTAAATGTTTCATTGTTATCTGAAGAATATGGCTGCTGTCCAGAGTGCAATTTTTCATGCCTTTTAAGTGTTCCCTTCTGAGTAAACCACTTGTCACAAGCTTTGCACTGGTATGGCTTCTCTCCAGTGTGGGATCTTTCATGTACTCTTAGATCACCCCTTCGTGCAAACCACTTGTCACATGTTTTGCACTGGTATGGCTTCTCTCCAGTGTGGGATCTTTCATGTACTGTTAGATCACCCTTTTGTGCAAACCACTTGTCACAAGTTTTGCACTGGTATGGCTTCTCTCCAGTATGGGATCTTTCATGTCTATGTAGATTTCCTTTATCACTAAACCACTTGTCACAACTTTTACACTGGTATGGCTTCTCTCCAGTGTGGGATCTTTCATGTACTCTTAGATCACCCTTTCGTGGAAACCCTTTGTCACAAGTTTTGCACTGGTATGGCCTCTCTCCAATGTGGAATCTTTCATGTACTGTTAGAGTACCCTTTTGTGCAAACCCTTTGTTACAAGTTTTGCACTGGTATGGCCTCTCTCCAGTGTGGGATCTTTCATGTACTTTTAGATCACACTTTTGTGCAAACCCTTTGTCACAAGTTTTGCACTGGTATGGCCTCTCTCCAGTGTGGGATCTTTCATGTACTGTTAGATCACCCTTTTGTGCAAACCCTTTGTCACAAGTTTTGCACTGGTATGGCCTCTCTCCAGTGTGGAATCTTTCATGTACTGTTAGATTACCCTTTTGTGCAAACCACTTGTCACATGTTTTGCACTGGTATGGCTTCTCTCCAGTGTGGGATCTTTCATGTACTCTTAGATCACCCTTTCGTGCAAACCACTTGTCACATGTTTTGCACTGGTATGGCTTCTCTCCAGTGTGGGATCTTTCATGTACTGTTAGATCACCCTTTTGTGCAAACCCCTTGTCACAAGTTTTGCACTGGTATGGCTTCTCTCCAGTGTGAGACCTATTATGAACTTGTAGATTTCTTTTCTGTGTAAAACACTGGTCGGAAGTTTTGCAATGGTATTGTTTCTCTCCAGTGTGGGATCTCTCATGGACCTCTAGATCTCCTTGTCTATGAAAGCACTTGTCACAGGTTTTGCACTGGTATGGCTTTCCTCTAGTGTGAGATCTCTCATGTCTTTGTAGATTTCCTTTTTTTGCAAAACACTGGTCACAAGTTTTGCACTGATATGGCTTTTTCCCAGAATTTGACATTTTTGTTTTGGCCATGCAAAGTGTTCTAAAATGTAAGCAAACAAAAAAGAGATTTACTCAACCAGATGCACATATCTGACAGGGTTTCAGAAGCAATGTCTTGAGTTTGAATAAACAAAGAAATTGGATGGTGAGTTGGGTAAAATATGTTTCAAACAATGTAATACTCTTCCAGGAAAGGAAGTTCTTCTATAACAATTGCCACTAATTTTGTGCAATTTCTGGCCAAAGCCCTGAAAGAAAAACCTTCATATGAGTAAGGACATACACAGAGAAGTGCATTTCCAACAAATCCCTTTACATAGCCTCACACAACCAATTCACACAATCTACATGTTGTCCCTGTGATGTTAAACTTTAATCTATAGTTGTCACTGTATGAACAATTTGTTCAATGAACTTCTCTAAATGGTTAAGTCACTCCACCTGTCACCATCAAGTGGAGCAACCCAAATTACAAAAACTGGGCGACAGAAATTTCTAATGGACACTACAAAAGAGATTCCCAATAGACTTTAATAGAAAGAATCTGGGTAAAAGACACCAATAAAAATCACCAAAAAGGAGTTTAACACTACTTGCGGCTACTGATATAGAACAATTGGTATAAAGTATCGAAAAGAAAGATTGTATAAAGATTGTCTAATGATACTAGAAGGTAGTGTTGCACAAGATTTGTCTCAGGTGCTGAAAGCCAACTGCATCCCATATATTTACAAGTACCCTGTTCCACAAGAGAAAGATAATTCAAGAATATACTGATTATTTGACACTCACCCGATAATTGAATGGTAACGATAATATCAACAATATAAACATAATAATGATAACAATAGTAATAGTTATGATAATTCATATCTGCTAGCTCAAAAACCTCACTGTTCCTCTATCAGTCTATCCTCTAGGCCCAAATTATGATTCAACTATGCTCCTTTTGATTTTGCCTGTTGATTAAAATTAATTTTCCCATTTTACTGCAATTTGTTTTGTTTCATACAACAAGGCATTCCCCATTGTAGGATATTCCACCATCTCACCCTTCCACTGGTCACATGTTAAACTCAATGTTTCTCATTTCAGACACCGCTCCCTTCTCAAGCTCTTTGGGTAAAAGTTGCTGATTGAAATGGTAAAATGCTTCCTCTTCCAATAAATAAAATTAGTCTTCAGAGCTTGTATGACTAAGAGATCATTTACCCAGATATTTATGCCATGAAAAGTTTTGTTATCAATTACGTGCCAGAGACACCAGTGTAAAATTATTTTGAGAGATTTTATCATCATGTGTAGTGTCACAGCAAGGACTGCAAAAAAAACTTTATTTTCCAATCTACTGTGCCCCAATCACACCTTTTAAGATATTTCTGCAAGGAAAAGCTTTGATTTTTCGCGTATCATACTGAGATGATTTTAAGTTGTTTATCGTCCTCTTTAGTGCTCTGAGATAAAAAATCAGTAGCACCAGGAAACATCGGGTCAAATATGGGTCAAGATCCAAATTCTATTGTTACCATTAATCACTCACTGACTCATTTCAACGACATGTGTGGCTTCACCTCCTATATGAGCTAATAGCCATGAAAATAGAAAAATTACCTTCTTTCATCAACACTCCTACATCAAACCCTATCAATGAGTATAAACGTTTCCTAACTGTATAATTTTACCTGTTTTTTATCTTCAAGTTTTTGGTCTTTCACTCGAGGAAAGAATCCTGACTTTTCAGGGTTCAAAATAATTTTTCAACTTTTAGCGTGAATTTGTAGGCTTTTGTCAAAGCTCATTTTTTTTCCTGGCTGTCAATAATATATGTGCAGTCCGCACATGTATTCATTACTCAACATGATTTATTAGGGCATCTCACATGCTTTTGGGTGACAAAGGGACAGCCATCTCAAAAGGAGAAGGATTTGCTAACTATTCATCCATCCAAACTTCCCATGGTGCATTCACGAAAAAAGATAGGTGTGTGCTCTTCACAGTTCACTTGGTAGTATTTGGGAGGCACAGGTCTGAATGAAGTCAAAACCTACATTTTTTTGCCTTCCTTTTCTACATTTGCTTAAATTGCAGTTTACCTGGGAGCATCACTGCTGAGACATTGGTTTCACTGAGATATCCATTTGGTTCAAGATATGCTTAATGGCAATGGAAACATTTTAACAGTTAAGACATTCCAAAGTAAATTTAAAATGAAAACCAACTACTTCAGTTCTTTTAATTGATAGAATAAAACTCCTGAAGCTGGGCCACTGAATACAACCAAGGTTCCTCAAGGTACGCTACCAGCATGTACTGCACGCATAACTATGAAACTGTTAATGATGGCAACACCATCGAACCATTTCATAACAACAAGAGAAACACTTCTCCGATTTATTTAGAAGACTGGAAAAATATATTCAATTTTACTGAGTACCGGTAGACATGAATCAACTAGAGATGACAAATGAAGCCAGCTCTATTTCAAGCTTTCACACAGGATCACAGCGACCGAAACGAAAAATTAAGTGATAACATTTTGATAAACAGACGATGAAACGTGTACTTCTAACTAAACCCACACACACATTCATAGTTTGTCTCCTCACAAAAACTGTTTACTCTAGCGCCCTATCGTGGCTTAGTACAGAGAAGCCTCCTAAATTAATTCATAGCTCAGCTGCCAACGAAATTCAACTGGGAAACTATGGCCCTCGAAATATAAAATAATGTAGTTGCAAAATAAATAGCTTATTCAATATTAGACGCTTTTGGTGGGTAGTAACGCTAAGTAATTTTACGAGCGTTGTTAGCACAACTCGTAAAATTACTGAGTGTTGCTTCACACCAAAACGTCTAATATTTAGGTACATACCCAGCCACTACTGCCATCGTGGGCAATAAGCTAAATTTAACATTCTACTCATACCTTACAAGTTTGTGTTTCCAAATTAATTCGCCTCAAGACTACAACATCAACTCATACAACTGACACTATCTCGTAACTGCCGCCTCACTCACAGGTTCCTCTATGTTGCTCATTTGAACAGGGAAGAGAGGACACTGGGAACGGATTGAGCATTTAGACAATAAGCTTTCTTACGCAAGATACCTTGACGTCGATCTTTGCCCGTATCATTTTATTTTAAGAACAGTCTCAGTTTTTAAAATTCCCGCGAAATACTCTGTTCTCGCCATATCCGCGAGAGTATCGCAATCAGAAGTTTGACTGTCTTCACTGAATGAACGTTCCTCGTGATCGCGCGTGACAGAGCGTCATTATACAGTAATTAACTTTGCTCTGATTGGCCAGCACAACGCAACCTTTGATTGATGCTAAATTCTCTCCCTGTCCAGAAAAGGGGGGAGGGGGTGGGAGGGGGTGAGGGTGAAGAGAGAGAGTGGGGGTTCCAGTTGAGAACTAGGAACTAGAAGTACCCCATCCATTGCGAAAAGAATGGCATAGAATAATCACTGAGGACCCCTCTGAGAAAACCTTACAAGTTTTGCCTGGCCTACAGCTTGTGTTAGATTACGATGCTCTGTTGGAAGGAGCAATTAGGGACCATGCATTGTTCTTCCCTGATGACACTACCTAGAGACCTGAAATGAACCAAACATTGGCCAAAAGAGCTGGGTCAAGAGAAAACCTCTACAAGACAACCAAAAGTAGAGCAAGAGAGGCCTTAAATGACAGGGTCAAGAAGTTCCACATTATGGAGGGAGGAGTAAAATCCTCTAAGGATCTTTAAAGGAAAATGACTAGACGAGTTAGTGAAATAAATGAATGGAGAACTAAACACATTGCAAGAACATTGAACAGGTAAAAGAGAGGAATTCTTCTGAGAAATGACTCAGACTGTTCAGGAGAAGGATAGTTTTATTAGTCACCTTCTAGACAGAAATAAGCAATTGAATACTATGTCAGGGTCGTAACGAGGTATATGGGATCAGGGATCAAAGGCCTAAAAAAGGGTGGGATCAGGGATCACAGCCTCGGATCCGGGATCAAAGCCCTCGGGATCGGGATCAGCGTGTTTTCCATGGGCTCAAGGATCAGGCGTCTAGATTTTGTGGGATCAGGGATCAAAATTTTCATCACTTTTGGGATCAGGGATAAAAAATTTGCGTAAAAATACGGCATCAGCGACGAAAAAATATACCTCGTTACGACCCTGCTATGTGGCTAACCTGAAGAAAATATCCATTAATGTTGAATAAAAAGGGAAGCCAGTTTCTTCCAGCCAAAACAAAGAAAGAACATTAAAAATTTTTCTCACTAGAGCTGAAACTGCTCTTTGGTTCAGCAATTTTTTTGGATTAAACATTAAAAGCATTTTGATAAAGGAGTGTGACTCAGGTGTAAAAACACACTTTATCCATGAAGCAAAGTTTTCCCTGTCATTTGGCAGGACCAAAAGGGCAAAAAACCTCCCTAAAGTACAATTCCCTCTCTGAGGAAGAAAAAAAGTAAGTGGAAGAAATTCTCTTTCTCCTTGACAAGTTTTGTGTGGGTGATTATTTTTTCCTTGAACTTACCATGGTCACTGATTGGTTTCCAAAGTCATATCTAATTCAGCAATGCAGAGCCAATTTAACTAAGCTATGCCACATAGACAGCCTACCAGGAAAGGCACCTGGGATAAAAGCTACTCCTGTCAAGGAGCTCATCAAGGAGCATCTAGAAGAGTACCTTAGAGAAAAGCCCACAACTAACAAAATCCAAATAAAAATAAATGGTGACAGGGCTCACATGACTTGGAATTCTAGCTTTGTTTTGTTGTCCTTTTCAATTTTATGGACAGGTGATCAAGTTATGACAGCAAAAGGAAACAGGACTTTGGCTGTCCTTAGAGGGAAAGAAGACTATACCTCTCTCAAAGAATTATTTGGAAGCATTTTTAGTGAAATTACCAGTATGATTACAGAAGCCAAGGTTACTGTTGATTACACTGAAATCAAAACAGAGTTTTTCCCTGGTGGTGATTATAAATTCATTTTCCCCATGCTAGGTTTAAATGGAGCAATAGCTAACTATGCATGTGCATGGTGTAAAATCCAAAAGAATGATAGATGGAAAACAGATCAGCATTTTAGTTATTTCAATTCAAAGCCACTTTCAAGGTCTCTACAAGAACTGAAAGAAATGTCCAAAAAATCAAAGGATGATTATGGCTGCTATAAGGAACCCCTTCTGGACATTGAATTAGACCATATAATTGTTGATGAACTTCACCTCCTTTTAAGAATAACTGATAAGTGTTAACTGCCAATTTAGTAACAGAAGTTAATGATTGGGATGTTGAGGAGAGTATTGAAAACCTGAACAAACAGGCACACCTAAATAAGTTCATTCACAGCAGAAGGTCTTGTGAAGTTTCTTTTGATGTCTGGGAAAAAAACGCAGGTGGCAAAGAAAGTTCTGCTCCCGAGTGGACAAGTCTAACGGGAAATGATAAGAAAATAATGCTGTATCACCTTCCAGAGAAAATGAATGATTTCTTGAGGCCTGAAACTGCTGACAAGATCAAAAAAATTTGAGTGGACTTTGCAGTAGCCTGGACAAAAATCTCAGTAACTGGCAACCGAATACCAGTCCCACAGAGTTTTGGCTGAAAGCAAAACAATAGGTGAATGATTTCATTTCACTCACAGGAGTAAGGGAAGGCTACAAGTGAAAAAGTTACCCAATACATTCATATAGTGGTTTCCCACATATCCCATAGTTTTTCCAAATGTACCAAGCAGTAGGAATATTTATAGGGCAAGGAGTTGAAAGGAACATTGATGTTGCAAGGTCCACTGTTCTCATGAAATCCAACAAGAAGGACTTTGTTGGAGATGTTCTTCTTCAGGAGTCATGCCAGTGGTACTCAAGAAGAAAGGGAATGGGAGCCCAGATGCTATCAGAAACACAACACAGAGTACTGGGAGGAGGACATATTCCAAAAAAGAAAAAAAATGTACCCTCTAAAATTACTACTCCACCTCTAACTAATCTGCAAAGTGGTTAAAGTGCTGTTGCATCTCAAACTCACTCTGCTGTGCCTTTGAGCTCAGCTGACTTTACAAAAATGACAGTTCCTCAGCTTAAGGAAGAATTAAAGAAAAGAGGAAGCAAAGGCATTGCTAGGAAAACAAAACATTAGCTTGTAAGATTATTGAAGAGCATTACTGACAAAGAAAACCAGTCAGCCTCTGTTTAAAAATAAATGACATTGTCATTAGATGCAGATAGTAAAAGTAGCATAGCATATAGCATTTAGCCTGCTGCAGGTGTAATAGCTGTAACGATTGTAATAATAGCCTGTTAATACCCTGATAGGTGCAGATAAACTCAACAGGTTTCTTTAGTCTACACCAGCACCATGTTACAGTACCATAATTCTTTTTGCACTGATAACTCCATATAACAGTAATGAAATGTCTAAACACTGCACCCATCCCACTTTATAAGATAGTCAATCTGAGAAATCAACATTATTCATTTTACTACAAAACTCAAACGTTCTTTAATATTAGATCACAATTTCTCTTCTAATGTAAGCTTATTAAGCTCCTCAAGCTCTGGAAATATAACAAAAGTTTTATGTACTTTGTGATCCAGTGATTGCCTCGAAATAACTCATTCAACTCTAACCCTTAAACTCCCAAGATCTCCTTAGTAATTCTCCTTACTTTCTGCCATATAGTTCTTGAGATGTTAGTTTTGAGAATTTGGTATTGGATCAACTGATAATCTTCTAACTGATATTTTTCTTCATTCTCATCACTTGTGTGCTCTATGTTGCATTGATATTGTAAGGAGAAATTCTGTCTTGGTCACTTATGGGAGTTAAAGGGTTAAAACATATTCCCTGACTGTTGGCTTTTCTTCTCCTTTACATCGGCTTTAAAAAGTCACTTGTGACTTGTGACAACTGCTAGAAATAACCAAGGCATTTTTCTCTGATGATCTACCATTTCAGAGCTAGCAGAAATACATGCCCATTGTGTTGACTACTGAGAAAATCCATGCTGGTAGTGTTGATCACTGACAACATGTGCATCAGCAATAACAATTGGTGACTGTATGTAACTGTTCACCATGCTCACTACTGGCAGGTGCCCAAAACCAAAATTTTGATTTGAGTCAGCACATAAAGAAAGAAGTGCATCAACAACGAGTCCTTTAATATATAAGCTTCATGCAACTGGTACATAAAGTCTACTCCTGATCATTTTTTTCTGACAGCTACGTTATGAGAGTAGCCACAATGTTACACTGTGAGGGTTCAAATCCTAATGGGAACATTCAATTTCATGAGTTTTTTTGGCTTCATCTCATTCTTGTGACAAAATGAAAACTCCTATCTGTCTGACCTTGTATATAAATTGCTTGATAATTTTGAGAAAAATAAAAGTGAGCCCTAAATATATGGAAGGAATTTCAGCAGACTTTGATGCAGACTCTGCATCCATTTTTAACAGTCTGCTGGGCTGAACTAATAAGTCACAAGCAAAACTCACAACAATTACATACTCAAATGCTTTCTTCGAATTAGAGCTTTAACATGAAGCTAATTCAAAAATAAATAGTGTTTTGTTTCTGCTGCTCTGTTTTTTACCATGGATCTCCTCTAACGTGTAACAAGCTTACTCTCGTTATCAACATGTACTTCCACAATCTGTCATCATTTCAATAACTGCTATTTGTGAATGACCCAACAACCAAGTTTGATTACAATCCACTGAAATTTGTGAAGAGGAAAATAGGAAACTTTACTTTTTCACCAAAATATAACTTCAGTCTAACCTAAAGAGAGTATATCACCAAAACTTTATATCTATAATGCACCTGCTTCCCTATTGTGCTTGTTTCATGTATTTGTAATCTTACATCAGATAGACTTAAATGTATCAACAATAATATCAAGGCAACTTCATGTGTTCCTCATAGTGGTTAATGAGCTGGGAAGCACTGCTCAGTTCCTCCTGACAAATCCAGCAAGTAAATGTTTCATCGTAATCTGAGGAATATGGCTGCTGTCCAGAGTGCAATTTTTCATGCCTTTGAAGTGTTCCCTTCTGAGTAAACCACTTGTCACAAGCTTTGCACTGGTATGGCTTCTCTCCAGCATGGGATCTTTTATGTACTCTCAGAATTGTTTTACGACTAAACCACTTGTCACAGCTTTTACACTGGTAGGGCTTCTCTCCAGTGTGGGATCTTTGATGTACTTGTAGTTTGCTTTTCTGCATAAACAGCTTACCACACGTTTTACACCGGTATGGCTTCTCTCCAGTATGAGATCTCATATGTGCTTTTAGAGTTTCTTTTTGTGTAAACCACTTATCACAAGTTTTGCACTGGTATGGCTTCTCTCCAGTGTGAGATCTATTATGAACTTGTAGACTTCTTTTCTGAGTAAACCTCTTGTCACAGCTTTTGCACTGGTATGGCTTCTCTCCAGTGTGGGATCTTTCATGTACTGTTAGAACACCCTTTCGTGCAAAGCACTTGTCACAAGTTTTGCACTGGTATGGCTTCTCTCCAGTGTGGGATCTTTCATGTCTATGTAGATTTCCTTTCTGACTAAACCACTGGTCACAAGTTTTGCACTGGTATAGCTTCTCTCCAGTGTGGGATCTTTCATGTACTTGAAGATGTCCTTTCTGACTAAACCACTTGTCACAGCTTTTGCACGGGTATTCCTTCTCTCCAGTGTGGGATCTTTCATGTAACTTTAGATGACCCTTTTGTGCAAACCCTTTGTCACAAGTTTTGCACTGGTATGGCTTCTCTCCAGTGTGGAATCTTTCATGTACTGTTAGATCACCCTTTCGTGCAAAGCACTTGTCACAAGTTTTGCACTGGTATGGCTTCTCTCCAGTGTGGGATCTTTCATGTCTATGTAGATTTCTTTTATCACTAAACCACTTGTTACAGCTTTTACACTGGTATGGCTTCTCTCCAGTGTGGGATCTTTCATGTACTGTTAGATCACGCTTTTGTGCAAACCTTTTGTCACAAGTTTTGCACTGGTATGGCTTCTCTCCAGTGTGGGATCTTTCATGTCTATGTAGATTTCTTTTATCACTAAACCACTTGTCACAGCTTTCACACTGGTATGGCTTCTCTCCAGTGTGGGATCTTTCATGTACTTGTAGATTTCCTTTACCACTAAACCACTTGTCACAAGTTTTGCACTGGTATGGCTTTTCTCCAGTGTGGGATCTTTCATGTACTTGTAGATTTCCTTTAACACTAAACCACTTGTCACAAGTTTTGCACTGGTATGGCTTTTCTCCAGTGTGGGATCTTTCGTGTACTATTAGATGACTTTTTTGTGCAAACCACTTGTCACAAGTTTTGCACTGGTATGGCTTCTCTCCAGTGTGGAATCTTTCATGTGCTGTTAGATCACCCTTTTGTGCAAAGCACTTGTCACAAGTTTTGCACTGGTATGGCTTCTCTCCAGTGTGGGATCTTTCATGTACTTGTAGATGTCCTTTCTGACTAAACCACTTGTCACAAGTTTTGCACTGATATGGCTTCTCTCCAGTGTGGGATCTTTCATGTACTTGTAGATTTCCTTTCTGACTGAACCACTTGTCACAGGTTTTGCACTGGTATGGCCTCTCTCCAGTGTGGGATCTTTCATGTACTGTTAGATCACCCTTTCGTGCAAAGCACTTGTCACATGTTTTGCACTGGTATGGCTTCTCTCCAGTGTGGGATCTTTCATGTCTTTGCAGATCTTGTTTCCTAGTAAACCGCTTGTCACAAGTTTTGCAATGGTATGGCTTTTTCCCAGAAGTGGATGTTTTGGCCATGCTAAAGTATTCTAAAATGTAAGAAGCAAACATAAAAGAGATTTACTCAACCAGATGTACATATTTGACAGGGTTTCAGAAGCAATGAATTAAGTTTGAATAAACAAAGAAATTGGATGGTGAGTTGAGCAAAATATGTTTCAAACAGTCATACTTTTCCAGGAAAGAAAGTTTTACTGTAACAATTGCCACTAACAAAGGCCAAGGCCCTGAAAGGAAACCTTCACATGAGTAAGGAAATGCAAAGAGAAGTGCATTTCCAACATGTCCCTTTACATAGCTTCACACAACCAGTTCATACAATCCAAATGTTGTCCCTGTGATTTTAAACTTTAATCTATAGTTGTCATTGTGTGAACAATTTCTTCAATGAACTTGTCTAAATGGAAAAGTCACTCCACCTATCACCATCAAGTGGAGCAACCCAAAGTGCAAAAAATGGACAACAGAAATTTCTAGTGGACACTACAAAAGAGATTCCCAATAGACTTTAATGGAAAGAATCTGGTTAAAAGATAAAAGAAAATGATAAAAATCACAAAAAAGGAGTTTAACACTATATGTGTTATTTATATAGCACAATTATTATAAAGTATGGAAGAGAATTCAAGATTGTATAATGATACTAGAAGGTAGTGTTGCAGAAGATTTGTCTCAGGTGCAGAAAGCCAACTGCGTCCCACATATTTACAAGTACCCTGTTCCACAAGAGAAAGATGATTCTTTGACACTCAACTGATTATTTGACACTCAACTAATAATTGAATGGTAAGAATAATATTAACAATATTAAATATAATAATGATAACAATTGTAATAGTTATGATAATTCATATCTGCTAGCTCAAAGAGCTCACAGTTCCTCTATCAGTCTATCCTCTAGGCCCAAATATTGATTAAACTATGCTCCTTTTGATTTTGCCTGCTGAATAAAATTCATTTTCCCATTTCACTGCAATTTCTTTTGTTTCATACAACAAGACATTCCCCATTATAGGATATTAGACCATCTCACCCTTCCCCTGGTCACATGTTAAACCCAATGTATCCTATTTCAGACAACACTCCCTTCACAAATTTAGCAGCTCTTTTGGGTATAAGTTGCAGATTGAAATGGTAAAATGCTCCCTCTTCAAATAAATAAAATTAGTCTTCAGGGCTTGTATGACTAATAGATCACCTATCCAGATATCTATGCCATGAAAAGTCTTGTTATCAATTAAGTGGCTGAGACACCAGTGTAAAATTATTTTGAGAAATTTTATCATCATGCGTAGTGTCACAGCAAGGACTAAAAAAAAAGAAACCTCACTTTTCAATCTACTGGGCATAATTCCCTAATTCAAGCATTAAAATGCGTTCTTTTGACCGAAAGGAAATTCCTCTAAATGCCCTAATCACATCTTCAAAGATATTTCTGCAAGGAAAAGCTTTGATTTTTTACGCACCATACTGAGATGATTTTTAGATGTTTATCGTCTTCTTTAGTGCTCTGAAATAAACAATCAGTAACACCAGGAAACTACTAACTCACTGACTAACTTCAACGACATGTGTGGCTTCGCCTCCTGTGTGAGATATTAGCCATAAAAATAGAAAAATTACCTTCTTTCATCAACACTCCTACATCCAATCCTCTCAATGAGCATAAACGTTTCCTAACTGTATAATTTTACCTGTTTTTTATCTTTAAGTTTTTGGTCTTTCACTCGAAGTAAAACCATAACTTTTCAGGATTGCAAATAATTTTTCAGCTTTTAGCGTGAATTTCTAGGCTTTTGTCAAGGCTCATTGTTTTCCTAACTGTCAATAATAAATGGGCAGTCAGCACATGTCTTCAACACTCAACATGATTTATTAACAGTACTAAAAGGAACATTTACCTTAAATTACTTAAAATAATTTCAGCATCAGAATCTTTATTTTGATCAACATGTTATGTGGCAGCAATTCCTTTTCTAAGAAAACGTTGCAAACGGCTCAATTTTTCGGTGTTTGTTTAAGCGTGAAATATACAACTTTGTCGAGACAAATTGTCGCGCTTCTCCATGGGAAATCCGTACTGTACAGTACCGACTTTAATTTGAACGTGTAAGAAGGCTTTGCAAACGACATTGAACAGGATTTGGCAGAAAATAAATCTTGATTAAAGGTAGTATGTAAGTGCAGAAACGTAAACACGATAATGTGACGGTGTTTACACAAACTTGCATGTTTCACGCTTCAACAAATACGTGGAAAGCTGAATACTGTAAACAAAAATACTCCCTGTAGCACGCTTCGAATTTCGAAACTTTATACTCGTTTACGTTTCCGAAAAGCTTTTCACGCATTTCTTGGCTGCTTAATTGCCTAACATGAAAAGTTCATCATAGCGTCACAGCGACTTTTACTTCAGTTGGACGATCAGTAAGCGTAATATTTTGCTATGAAATTCTAGTTCTTTGGTGAAAAATCGCTGATAAGTGCGTTAAAAGTTCCGGCTGCCGCCGGCAGCCGGCTATTATTATGAACCTTGCTTTCATCAAAGTACATTCATCTATTTTATTCTAAATTATCTGTTGCCCAAATAACTTATTAAGTGTAAAATTTCTTTAGTAAGGAAACCCTCTCATAAGCTTTTGGCTGACAAAGGGACAACCATCTCAAAAGGAGAAGGATTTGCTAACTATTCATCCATTCAAACTTTCCATGGTGCATTCACGAAAAATTCTTCAGTTGGTAGTATTTGGGAGGCACAGGTTTGAATGAAGTCAAAACCTACATATTTTTGCCTTCCTTTTCTGAAATTGCTTAAATTGCAGTTTACCGGAGAGCATCACTGCTGAAACATTGGTTCCATTGAGATATCCATTTGGTTCAAGATATGCTTAATGGCAATGGAAACATTTTAACAGTTGAGACATTCCAAAGTAAATTTCAAATGAAAACAAACTACTTCAGTTCTTTTTAATTGATAGCCGTAACTCCATCGCATTTGAAAAGGAAACCCAGATGAATATAAAATATTTAGGTATATACCCAACTACTACTACCATCGTGGGAAATAAGCTAAATTTAACATTGTACTCATACCTTAAAAGTTTTTATGTTTTCCAAAGTGATTCGCCCTTGCCTGCTCGTTAAACGGACGTTATCTTGTAACTGCCGCCTCACTTACAGGTTCCCCAAGGTTGTTCATTTGAACAGGGAAGAGAGGACACTGGGAACAAGATTGAGCATTAGGACTAGTGCCCCATTCACACCAAAGCTTAAACATGTTTAAAAGTTGTTTTGTTAAACACAGTTTAATTTTTTTTTTCTTCATAGAAACTATTTAACTGAATATTTTTGACTTGAATGTAGCACATTGGAAATGCAAGTTAGCAAGTACTTGAATCCAATGGAAAATCAAGTTTTTCAGTTCTCTGTTTATAATTTTCATTCAATGAAAACC